GGGTCAGCCTCCCTGTGTCATGTTATCCTATGGTCTGTTGTTGGCAGCAGGCTGGCTTCTATGAGCTGTTGCTGGCAGCAGTCAAGCTACCACTGTACCGCCCTGTGTGTGCCATCTTCATCTGCTTGCAGTTCCGACTCTAATGACCCTTCTACAACTCTGGCGGGTGCTTGCTGTCCTCTGTTGTCCACTGTACTTTCCCTATACCTTTTCTAACTAATGAGGAAGGGAGGCCTTGCCCCCCGGCCCCTGTACCGGAGGAGGGCCCACATTCATCCGCTTGAGGAGGACCACCTGGACGCGATGTCCGTTGCCAGTCAGAAGCTGGTGAGGATGTTGTCGTCGTTACGTTCTCGTTTGAGGCTTGCTATGTTGGCCGGTCCACTGCTTATTCCGGCTGGCCAGGTGCCGGATGGAGGCGACTGGGACGGGGGAAAAGGGGCTAGTGTAGGGGATAAGGGGGGAGGGGTTGATGGGAGAGGGGGCGGTGGTGGTGAGAAAGGCAACACAAGGTTCACCCACACATGCAGAAATGATGAACAGGAGCAAACACACAAAGATACGGCACAGAGGAAAGACAGGAATAGCAACAGACTATTCTGTGAGAATCTCCTCAACTCATTAGGAGGCTGAGCCCTCGAAAATCTGCAAAGTCCCCTGATGCCGCTGACGGTGCTTTGAGTCAAAAATTCAAAATATGCTGCAAAGTTGCACAAACCCTGTTGTGAGTGGGCAAACACAGCAAGGCATGCAGGATGGCCAGGACTCTGAGGAGAAATGCAGCTCACGGCAAGGCAAGAAGGTGGGCATGCATCCAGGGGAGCAAGCACGCAGCACCACAGCAAGGCACACGGGCAACTTAGGAGAAGGCAAGCAGGCAGCCAAGCGAGCAAGCACACAGCAGCAGGTGGGCGAACGCGCAGGCAAGCACAAAGAAAACAGCAAGGAACGTGGGAAGGTAAACAAGACAGCAGCATCCACACAGAAACCTATGAATGGAAGGAGCACCAGAGCGTGCTATCAGCTACTCACACAATATGGAAAACTCCACATGCTGTAGGTTCATGCCACCATCAAGAGCCAAGGGGGCACAAGACGAATATCTGCTACTACCAAGAAACACAGAGAGACAGGCATCCCAAACACAGCAGCCCATCACAGGCACTCCGAACAAACGGCTATGCGGCACACATCTAAAAAGCGTTGCACCCGGACACTAACAGAGCATGGGGAAAACACAGAGGGAACAGAAAAAAACAAACTGACTACTAGGCACAAGGGTGTTGCACTTGGTCACTGTAAAAGAAATGGGGACAGACAAACAAACAGACTGCACTTGGTCACTGTACAGAGCATGGGGACAGACAAACGAACAGACTGCACTTGGTCGCCGTACAGAGCACAGGGACAGACAAATAAACAGACTATGTAAACATGTGTGTGTGTGTGTGTTGTCATTTTCGCTATATACAACTTCACAAAGAAAAGCATGACTGTGCGGGGCTGTTTCGTCAAACTTTCACCGACTCATCCGGATGTGTTGTGCATGACCCACCCCAAACCCTCCCCCCTTGTTGTGTTGCAGGAACTCCCAACAAATCGGCACTGACTATTTGGCACATCTCGAAGGCGCTGCACGTGGACCCACCCCTAACCCTCCCCCCTTGTTGTGCTGCAGGAACTCCCAACAAATCGCACTGACTATTTGGCACATCTCGAAGGCGCTGCATGTGGACCCACCCCTAACCCTCCCCCCTTGTTATGTTGCAGGGACTCCCAACAAATCGGCACTGACTATTTGCCACATCTCGGAGGCGCTGCACGTGGACATGGAAGAGACGACAGAAAAAACACAGAGGGAACAGACCAAGAAACACACCATGTGACTGTGTGACCTTCATGAGAAGGTTGTTCTGATGGGTGTCCAAGGGCATTGGGCTATTGGTTAGGCTTGTTAGGCAAATACGGATCCCACTTAGCCTATTGGTGGTTAGGGTGTTTGCCTGACAAGCTGTTGGTTGTGTGTTCGATTCTTGGATTGGACATGAATTGGGCCCTGTGGTCCATGGACACCGGAGACATATGCACAGAAACTTGACATACACCAGGTTCACGAACAGAGATGCTTATGAGTAGGTGGTGTCGACTCCACTGCAGGTGGGTTATCCATAAGCTTCATTCCCGATTAAGGTATAGCTCCCAGGGATCGACCCAAGAATGGCTGCCCAGGGTGATACCCCTGGTGTGTGTGTCGGGTATAGAACAAAACAACCCAAGGTTCACCCACACATGCAGGTACAATGAACAGAAGCAAATGTGCAAGATACGGCACAGAGAGAAAACAGGACTGGCAACAAATGGGACTCTCACCCGATCGTCAGGAGGCTGACCCCTGATGGTCTGCAGAATCCCCTGATAATGCTTAGAGTCATAGTCTGCTTCTTCTTCTTTTTCTTTTTTTTGCTTTTCTTTTTTCCCTGCTTCAAACCCTGTTGTGAGTGGGAAAACACGGCAAGGCACGCAGCACTGCTACGACAAGGCAACTAAGAGCAAGGGAAGTGGGCGGGCAGACCTTGTGGGGGGGGGGGGGGGGGCATAACAACACGGCAAGTCACAAAGGCAAACCTATAGAAAGGCAAGTGGGGTGGGAGCAGGGACACAGCACGATATGCGGTAGGCAGCATATAGCAATGCAAATGGGCGTGCAGGCAGATCGGCGGGTGGGCAAGCACAGGGACTCGGACGCGGCAATGTTCGCAGGAAGGCAAGCAGGAAGGCAAGCAGGAAGGCAAGCAGGATGGCAACAATAATGCAGAAAACCACAAATGCAGCAAGGATCGGATCAGAAAGGACTATCACCTACTCACATGATATGGTAATCTCTGCAGACTGTAGGCTTATGCCACCATCAAGAGGCAGGGAGCCACAAGATGAATGTCTATCACCACCAAGAAACACAAAAATATAGGCATCACAAACACAGCAGGCCTCCCTCATAGTGTTGCGGGCACTTCCAATGAGGTGCTGCATTTGGACACAGAAGAGCACGGGGAAAACAGAGAGGGAACAGAAAGAAACAAACAATGTAAATGTGTGTGTGTGCGTGTGTGTGTGTGTGTGTGTGTGTGTGTGTGTG